CATTAGATATGCAGTAATTGGAATTTTTCCTCCTCGTTCTTGTTTGAATTGGTTTGCTATGATATAAGTCATGTGTAACTTCTGTGGTCATTTGCTAGAGGCTTATGAACAAGTTCTGTGTGTATTTATCCAAATTCTTGGAGTTCTTAGGTTGACTCCTGCTGTTGTGTGACACTTTGGAGTACTTTAGCTGTAGAGGAATGAAAATTGTAGCTCCTCGCATTAGTCTTGCATTCACCTCAACATTGTCTTTGGCATGACAAAGTAATTTGAGTGTTCTGTCCATCCCATAATCTGGCTTTATTAGGAGCACGTGGTATTATATCTAGTACTTTCTAAAAGCTTAAAACGTATATGCCCTCTACATCATGGGTAGAAACTTTAAATCTGAATCCAGGACATAATATAACTTTCTAGTTTTGATTTTGTCATTCTCCACTCCCTATTTAGTCCTTGTAACACCGTCTGATTTGTAATTTGACTTATAGTTGAAGAAACTGTAATTTGACCAAAAAACAATTCAATTTTTTTCTGTACTAATTTTTTAGCTTTGGCATGTTTGCCAGGAAATAGGTTTGATTGTACAGATACTATTTGTCTTTGACCAATTACCTGTCTTTGTGTGGATTCTTCTCATGAGGACCTAATGTTCTTGTTACTAGAATTAGTTTTTTTTACCAATCACGAAGTGCACAAATCTTGCACTTTTCTGTTCAAAAATTCCACATTGCTGCCACAAAGTTTCGAGAACTTTTATAATTAATGTTCTTGCCCATGATCAAGCAAAGGCTCAAGTATGTGATGATGGCTCCAGGTCTTGTGCTTGTTTTTACCTTCTTTATTCTGTCACCTCTACAATCTGCACGTTTTGATATTTTTCTCTTGTTTTTGGTTCGTTACTTCTGGTTTGTTAGTTATTCCAATGTTACGTGGTCATGCTAGGTGCCATAACATTTCCACAGTGTGGTATATTTCTGGAGCCTTTGTCATTTTATACATTTAATGGTCAAACACAACTAAGAGACCAATACCTGATAGTTGGATCTGGCATCATCAGAATCAACATATAGAGACACAACTTATACACAGATCTTTTGAATTTCTTGGGTTTCTTCTTGCAGATAATTTCATGGCTAGTTGCTGCTTGATCATATTGATAAACGGATATCTCTTAGTGGATTTCTTCTCATCTGAAGTCAGTGGAGTGATACTTACATCAGTCGTATTTGTTTTTACGGCTGCATATGTGGCTTTTATAGCATACCTCGTATCACGAGGCATTACCTTTTCTAATTTTCCATTAAAATTCAAGAGGCTCACAAACTCAGGAAATTAATCGATGGTTCTGTCAATGACTTGCCAAGTGCGCAGCACTCAGGACTTTCCATCTCTGGTATTGCCAACTGTTTCTCTGCCAGAAAGATCCCTTGTGCATATAAATGTTTTCCATCTCTGGAACGCGCAATAGGTGTCTACAAAGATTGTGACAATCACTTACCTGAATCGCTTGTGCGAAATTTGTACTAGTTCCTGTGCAATTTTGCAATTCTCATCCCTCTATGCATTGGAGATGGGAAAAGCAAGGCCCAATATAGATCTGAGGTGAAGTATTGTATGTAGTAGTAGATTCCAATATACATTTTTTTTTTCCTAATCTGAAGGGTGGGGGTGGAGGTTGTCACTGTTGATATTGGCCAGTGTAGAGTATTTTGGAATTAATCCTATGGCAAGGAGTTCTTAATTTTATCTAATGTTTTTTGGTTGCTCTTTTTTTCATGTTAAAAGTGGTTTTGCCTCATTTTATTCTCCATTTTTATCTTGATGAGTCGATATAAGCAGTGGAAAAGATAAAATGTCACTCTGAAGTTCACTTTGCCTTCTTCCATCATAGTTAAAGGCAGGCCTGCCTTGCAACCTGGAAGTCTAGTTTTCTTCTTGACTCTGCATTGGGCTGAGGTGTCCTTGCTTTCTTTCATCAAAAAGTGTGAGAAGGTCCAATCCAAGATTGAAGGTAATGTTTTAATCCCTTCTAAATAATTGAAGGATGCAATCTAGTAAAAGGATGTTGGTATCTATCTGATTGGCATCTGTATACTTGCATGATCATCTTTGCTTGCCTTTGATGCAAGTATACGAAGGCAAGAGATGATCATGCATAGCTGCATTTGGCTAGTTTCCTATTATGTGAGCTATGAAATTTCTCAATAGCGGGATTCCCTTTCAATTTCGAACGTTTGCATTTTGACAAAGGCTGATTCAAGTGTCACTCACCCTTTGAACCTGAAATTTAGCAGTATTTGAGGTCGCTGCTGATGAATGGCGGCCTAAGTTGGCGCTGTGCATGCATGGGGGCTGCCAGTGGTAATCCACTGGAAGCTGAGTTTTTGTTACAGCCACTACAGGCTCTAAGCTAAGAGTCTGGCAAAAAACTTGTTGTTGCCATTTTCTTACCTGCATTACGGACCTCATGTCTGTTGTTGTTTCTAGTTACGAGGCAAAATCTAGTATTTGTGTTTTTTGACTGACCTGATGGGTCTGGATTGACTATCTTCCTGGCTTCCCTTTGCAGGATTCTTCCTGCGAGTGAAGTAGGTAGGTTGTTTGTTGGTTGGACAAGCGAATAAGTAATCCGAGCTTCTAGTATGTTGTACTCCGTTAATTCTTCTGTTCAGGTCTACTGCAAGCATGATCGACGGGACGAGGCAAACTGAGGCTGTCCATTTATCCGTGACTTCCAGCTTGCTGATGGAGGCAGCATGACGTTAAAAAAAAAAAAAAAAAAAAAAAAAGCAATCTATCTAGGATATACATGGTAATTGAATGATTTCTGTTATTAGTTTAGCAAATGGAGAAGCCACGTCGTTAACCTCAATTAGAGTTGAAATTTCACTTTTAGAAACGCCTAGCAGAAATTAGTGGGCTTCAAATAAAAATTTTTTTTCTGCTAATCCAAGAATTACGGAGTCAAAGAGTTACGATAGAAAGAAAATGCGATGATATTGTTATTTATGGCTGGATATTTTCTGACCTTCCCAAAATATCCTCCTCTCCTACTCCCAAGCCCTACCCCAGTGAGTAAAATGCGAAAAGATAATTGTGTATTTTCACCTTGTTATTGGTGGGGTGGAACGACAGAAATTGGAAGAATATAAAAGTTAGCCGACCACGTCAAAACTTTGACATGTTCGACTACGCTGGTAGCAGAGAGTCTTGAGAGCGCAAGCGCGGTGCAAGAACAGGCGGCTAACGCTCTGCCCTGGGAGTCTCTCATAATTGATAATCCTCGTGGTTTTTAAGTGGTCAAAATGAGAAAGTCGGAAGTGGCGCGCGCGGCAAAACTAGTAGACTCGGATCACTCTTTCTTTTTCCTGTTTATTTCCAAAATTAACACCGTAATTATTTATACAAAAAAAAAAAAAAAGATGTACACCATTAGCATTTAGTATTTGATTGGAGACGCATCTCATCTCACCACTACTGTGTTTTGTGTTATTTGATGCATCCGAAAAGGAAAGGTAGTTAAAAGAAAACTCCAATACAACGGAAAATTCCAGGTAATAATGTGGCACTTTTGTCACCCTCACGGGAGGCATTTGGAATATTTCCAGCAGACCTATCAATTCAATCCTGAACCGATGAAAAACATGATGAAACTGTTAAAAGTGAAACCAAATGCAAAACAATTATCAAAAAACAATCCGGCAGGCGTACAAGCAATTCTAAATCTATCTGGCTTGCATGCATGTCATTAATTACTCGTCTAGCAGTTTAACTATGTGAATTATCTGTTAAATACTTGTCCTTAAGACTGTGCTTATAAGGAAGGGAACGAACGATATTAGCATAGTGAACGGAGCACCACTTAGAAATTTTGGAATACTGTTTGGACAGTGATTTTCCTTAGAAAAATTCTCACGTTTTCCGTGAACACATCTCCATATATTAAATCGCTACAGTAATTTTTCTATAAAAAATCCAGAAGAATGCAATCCAAACAAAAGCAAAATTTATATAAAGTTTCTGAAGATGAGATGATGTGCTATTTAATATTGGGTTATAAGTAAGAAGATTGATTTTTATTACAAGTCTCACCAACAAAACACGCTCAAATTTGGACCCACTGATTTGTTTGAGGGTTAAAAGCGTTTAAAATGTATCATCCAACCGTTCGTTCGACTTGCACATATGGAATAAACCCACCAACTCCTACCTTTGCTGATTTGGACATAAAACCTGAACCTTTTAACAAAATATCTCTTCTTCAACCGCTTTCTCCCTAATTCCATGGTATCTTTTGCATTTCGGTTTTTTTTTTAAAAAAAAAAAATATATATATATATATATATATATATGTATGTATGTATATTATCCCCTTTTTCTATGTTATTCAAAGACACTGCAACATTTTTTCACACGGTAAGTGTTGCATAGTCAAGAGTCAAATTGTCTCGCAATATTATTGATTGAGAATATAATTGTTGAATTTTTAATACTACAAACATTTTATTCACATGGTAAATGTTGCATAGTCAAGAGTCAAATATCCTCGTAGTACTATTGATTGAGAACTTAATTGTTGAAGAAGCATGGTTCTTGAATGTTAAACTCAATCCCCATTTGATCGGATGAATCGAAACTCATGCAAAATGGAGAAGATTTTTTTTTTTTTTTTTGGGGGGTTGAAATTTACCTATTAAATAGTGCTTTGGTGAGTCCTAAGAACATACAAAACTTGAAACAAAATCTTAACATAGCATAAGAATTTATTTGAATGCTTTTCCAACCTTTTAAAAAAAAAAAAAAAGAAGAAGAAGATAGATTACAAATTCGTTATTTGAGCCTAAGACAAATATGGTTAATTGTTTATTCATGTACACAACCAAAACTCCGGGACAATTAAAAAAAAAAAAAAAGGACGTGGACAAAATAAAAGCATTAAGTAGTAAAAGAGAAATAAAATAACACGGGAAAGACGATGACAGAGAAAACCACAGCAGCAGGAGCTGAACGACGAGGAAATTTTACAGAAAGTCTTTAGACGGGGAAAGGTTACCAAGTTGAACCAAACCCCCTCCAGAAAACGACGACGTTGCTCTCTTCTTCTCCAACCAAGGTATTCACTTTCTCCTTTCTTCAGCAAATTTATTTGATCCGTCGCCTAGGGTTTTTCTTTTTCGTCTTCTGTTCCTGATCCTTGTGGTTGTGATCGCGTTTGTTCTTCCAAAATCATTTCAATTAAAATTAAGCTCAGAAAGAGAACAAATTCATCTCGGGAATCCTAATTCCATTGCCGTGGACGTGAATTGGACGCTTGTGGATGTGAAATGTATGCTCATGTACTGATTTGTTACTTACGAATTGGTTTTTCTCACTTTCTATATGAATAGGAAATTGCTTATTTATGTTGCTTTTGCTGATTTATCTGGTTCTTTTGTTCGAGTTCTTGATATATGTCTAAATTTTTTGTATTCTTGAGAAGCACTTGGTGGTTTCGTTGAGGTTTATGGGATAGTTGTTGATTTTAGCCTGCTTTTTTGAAATTTCAAGTGGTTTGCGTGGAAATGTTTGCCAACCATAATCACTTACAGGAACCTCACCCAAGGCTTGTCACTGTTACTTTGAGGTCAAACCATAAAAAATTCAATTGCTTTTAGGCAAGGTAAGTATGTTTGTCAGGTTCAATTTTCATTTCTTAAAAGCAGATTTTTTTTTTTTTTTAAATATGTATTTTCTGGTGCTGTTGCTTGTGGTACACCTCAATGAAGTCGATGGTTCTGCAATTGAATTTTTATAAATCTGGTAGGGCTTCATAGAGCTTGAAAAGTACTAATATTGTATAATCCTTCATTTCTTCAAGAAATTCATTTTATTTTTATGGGGAAAATTTACTATGCATTTGCAGTTTTGGATAATTGTCTCAATTGTCATGCTTTGTAAGACATAGTCCTCCTTTTACAATTGATGTCAGTTCTGTGTCATTTAGAAAGTGTCTGCGAATTTTATTTTAGGCTTCCCTATTTTATTTTTATGCCTTTATACCCTGTCTGCGGCATACTAAATCAAGTAATATCAAGTTATGTTACTCATTCTTTTCCCAGCTTTTGCACTTATATCATGAATACTTGTTTTACTGAACTGAACCATATGCTGCCATGAAACTCATTAGGCGCTTGAAGCTAAATTTTATCTTGGTTCCCTAATAGGGATTTATAAGCTTTTCCCGTGGTCATATTTTTTGGTCCTTCGGTTTCGGACTTTAGATTTAGAAGTTGGCTCTAGTTTGAGTATGCACTCGCAGTAACCGAGTTTCTTCGATTTGTTGAATAGTGTACCATGCAACAGGAAAGCATCCAGACCTGTTGTTTGGTTTCTGACTAATCTCTTGCCGTCTTTCATTCCTCACCTCTCTTCTCCACCCTTTTTGCAAAGCACATCCATAAAAACTTCTTTAAATGTTACTATGCACTCTTGTAAAACTTTCTCATCACATTCTATTACCTATTGGCTTTCTGAAGTGGCAAGAACAAGCTACAGATCTTCTACTTTTTAGAATATTTATTAGGAAAGGAAATACATTGGGCATAGGTCCCCTGTCCCCTATCCTTTATCTAGATGTGTTGTGGTGTAAAAAGATGCAAATCCAACAAGAAGAGAAGGCAGGGTTCGGTGTTTGAAAGGTGGGGCCTAGTGGTTCAAGTATCTCCATTCTCGTGCAAATGTCTATCCTACGCACCAAAGCTTCTCCCATGCTCTCTTATTTTGACAACAAATGATGCTTCTCCCTAGAAATAATGCTTCAAGTGATTGCCAACAATTACTTATCTCTCACCACTTTGACAACTTAGTTGCAAGTTGCGCTTCCTTTTTTTTTTTTTTTTGTGAAGTAGTGAAAGCAGATTACCGCATCTAAAGTTAATTTGCATTCTATGGGATTCACGGTTGACAGTTTTCTCTTGCAGGTTATCAGCATTTTGTTGTTCCTTCTATAGTACCCCAATTGACCTAAGTCATTTTAAGGATACTCTTCTTCCCTCTGTTTACTTTATCAGCGATCAGCACCATACAAAAGATTGCATGAGGGATTAAATTTACAGCTTTACGAAGTAAGGTATTTTTTCTGTTTTGTGTGAATGGTGGCTATAAATTTTTGTTGAGTTGCAGCTAATCTTAATTGTTCGTCTTGCATATTACTATACAAGTGAGCATATAAAAGAATCAAGTTATTTTTAAGGTGCCCTTTAGGTTTTGAATTACCGGATCTGTCTTTTCAAATATTTCATACATAAATAGAAGAGATCATTCAAATTTAGGTCCTTCAGGTTTTCTCAATGATAGGAGGTGGAAAATGCTCTGAATAACTGGATGTGATAATTTATTTCTGTAATTGTCAACTACTCAGGCAAAACAGTCTCGCTCTCTCTCTCATGCACAACCTACTGACATACACACAAGTTGATTCCTTATCTGTATAACTGACTTGCTTGACTGAAAGCAGATTAGAAAACCTGTATGTGTGGATGCGATTTTTTACACACAACAATCAATAAAGGTGCCACTCTTTCTCTATTGACAAATTTTAGGGAAAAGATGTTTTATTTCTGTCAGAAGTTCTCTTTCTTCCTGTTGCACTTGTTATAAAACAGTAATTGTTGCATCTTTGTTTAAGCTGTAATAATTCTCTTCCTTTTTATTTGTTACCTATTTGTTGTAGTGAAAATTCCATTTCTTTATAGTCTTGTTTTAAAGTTCACTAAATTTTGGTAAGGAATCTTTCAAGAGAGTTCATTCTTGATCTCTGAACCCTTTCTCAATTCGATTGACCAGGTGGAATGGAGATAAAGTTGCTAAAAGTGCTTGTAAACAGTATATCATCTTTTTTTCATCTGTCAGCTCGTGAAAACTTAAACTTGCAACCAGTTCAGAAGTATTATCAAAAGATTGAAGAGATACTGAAGTTGGTAAAGCCAGTTCTGATGCCATCATTGATGCTGAAGTAACTTCTGATGAAAAGCTTCAAAAGGCATTTACTGGGCTTGGTAATGCTGTTGAGATTTGAGGGAGCTCTTTGAGAACTGGCAGCCACTGATGAGTAAAATTTATTTTGTATGTGTTGAGATCCTCTATTTACAAATATCTTGAAAATATTAATGCAAGGAAGAAGGCAGAACAGAATATTTCAGCTAATTTAATATGTTGAAATAGAATCTGTCTTTTCCTGTGCTGCATGTTAATTGGGACAACTGATTTTGGAACCATTGACTAGTGGAACATAATATTTGCCTGATATGTAGGTTCTGCAAGTTGAATCACTGATTGCAAAAGTGAAAACTTCTGGACTGGAAATTTTTGAGCTGCTGAAGTCTTTTGATGGATTCCTCCCCTCAGAATTAAGTGTGGCATCTTTAGAGGTATTGATTCAATGAATTCTATTTTGCTGGTGTTGAAAAATTGGCTGTGGGTGTGTATATGATGACTTGTTTGCCTAATGTATTGTTCTTTGAGTTGCAGCTCTGCATACAGAAACTCAAGCATTTAGGTAGTGAACAAACATCAGCAATTATTACAGAAGCTATTAAGGATCAAGTGGAGGCATCTGGAGCAAGTTCGGACAGCCTGGCAAAAATTGCCGACTGCTTGCGCTTAAAATCAAATCAAGAGCTTCTCATTGAGGCTGTAGCCCTTGAAAAATTGAAAGAGAATGCTGAACAAGCTGAGAAGAATGGAGAAGCTGAATATTTAGATCAAATGATTGCTCTTGTCACCCACATGCATGACTGCCTAGTTTTGATGAAACAGTCCCAAAGCTGTAGCCCTGTACAATACCTGCCGATTTCTGTTGCCCTTGTCACTTGAACTCATGACAGACCCTGTAATTGTTGCATCTGGACAAACTTATGAGCGGGCATTTATCAGGAAATGGATTGATCTTGGGCTTACTGTTTGCCCCAAGACACGGCAAACTCTAGCACATACCAACCTCATTCCTAATTACACTGTGAAGGCACTAATTGCAAATTGGTGTGAAACAAACAATGTGAAGCTGCCTGATCCCTTAAAGTCTATGAGCCTGAACCAGCCTGCTTTGCTTCTTGCACATGCTGAGTCTGGTGTACCGAAGGATTCCCATGTTCAACCACATTCCAGGAGTAATCGTTCTGCATCACCAGATTCAAACTAGGTCTTTAGGTTCTCCTATCGGGTCCTTAATCTCATCTAGTGTAATCCAACAAGAGGGATCACCTCCATCTCATCCACATTCATCTTCTGAGGATTCTCTGCCTGGAGTAGCTGGAAATGGACATGGGCTGGATATTGAGAATGTGCCACGGAGAAGTTCTGAGGATAGATTGGTCAACTCCGGAGATAGAAGTGGTCAGCTTTATTTGCCCCAATCTAGAGACAACAGTGCTGGGGCAGATGAACAGTCATCTCAGGGTCATAATAGAACTCAATCAGCTTCTAGCACCCATTCTAATTCAATGCCTGGTGATGGCAATGAGGCACCCTCCCAGGGCTTAACTTATGGTTCTGATGTTTCGGGGGAGGTTACATCGGCTCCCCAGCCAGCTTCTTTTAATTACACCACAAAGAGAGCCAGAGTTTGCGTCAAGACTGGAGACAAGATCTCGAAGCCAAACTATTTGGCGTAGACCGTCTCAGAATTTTGTTCCAAGAATTGTTTCTTCTCCTGCTGTTGAAACAAGGGCTGATCTTTCTGGTGTTGAGGCTCAGGTTAGAACACTAGTTGAGGACTTGAGGTGTACTTCCTTGGATGTGCAAAGAAATGCCACTGCTGAACTTCGCCTACTTGCTAGGCATAATATGGATAATCGAATTGTGATTGCAAATTGTGGTGCTATTAGCTTATTAGTTAATCTACTTCATTCAGCAGACACCAAATTACAAGAAAATGCAGTTACGGCTCTTCTCAACTTATCAATTAATGATAACAACAAGGCTGCAATTGCAAATGCAGATGCAATTGAACCTCTGATTCATGTTCTTCAGACTGGTAGTCCTGAAGCAAGGGAGAACTCTGCTGCCACTCTTTTCAGTCTTTCAGTCATTGAGGAAAACAAGGTCAGGATTGGGAGATCAGGAGCAATTCAACCTCTAGTAGATCTATTGGAAATGGAACCCCAAGGGGAAAGAAAGATGCTGCCACAGCTTTGTTTAACTTGTCAATATTTCATGAAAACAAGGCACGTATTGTGCAGGCTGGTGCAGTGAAGTACCTTGTAGAATTGATGGACCCTGCTGCAGGTATGGTTGATAAGGCAGTTGCTGTTTTGTCGAATCTTGCAACTATTCCAGAAGGAAGGACGGCAATTGGCCAGGAAGGAGGAATCCCAGTTCTGGTTGAGGTTGTTGAGCTGGGTTCTGCAAGAGGTAAGGAGAATGCTGCTGCTGCTCTCTTGCAATTATGCACTAGCAGCAATAGATTCTGCAATATGGTTCTCCAGGAAGGTGCAGTTCCACCTTTAGTAGCATTATCACAATCTGGTACCCGAGAGCCAGAGAAAAGGTATTTTATTAAATCGTTTGTGGTTTCTTTTTCTTTGTTACCTTTTTAGGCGTTGAGTTAAATGTAACGAGGCTTTGGCTCTTTTGCAGGCCCAAGCACTTCTTAGCTACTTCAGAACCAACGAAATGCAGGCCGGGTTGATTTTGAGAGTGGAGCTTTGCTTCCATGGAATTGAGGTAGAACATGAAGTGTGTAAATCATATGTTGAAAATAATTCTTATGGATTTCCTATTTATTAGATGATTGTTGACTTGTGAAAAGACTGATCCTTTGGGGTTTGATTGATCCCTCTTAAATAACTTTGTTGTGAATGGGAGAAATTCTCTGGCAAGTTTTGGTTTTGCTGCCTTTCCGTGGAGTCATGACTCTCGTGAATAGTTTTCTTTCAAAAAATAGATATTTTGTAAATTTACTTCTCCAAGGTTTTCACACCGAATTGATACAGCGAGATTTCTGGGTGCTATTCCCCTGAGCGTACTTCGACTGCTTCAGAGTTTTTTCTGGGCGCATTTGGACTTGTGCCTGTGGCGATCTCCTTTTTCAGCCATCCATGTGTTTCTTTTTCTCTTTACTTGGTTTTGCTTTTGTATCTGTATATGAAGTTGTAATGTGATGGAATGTAAATTTGTCGTTATTATGAGAGCATTCAAATTGTTACGCTGCTGGTCTTGCTGAGCAGTACTCTGATATAATCTTGCCTCAAAAACTTATTTCAAAGGTTCTAATCTTCATTTTGTGATACCTGATAGGAAAATTCTTGCTCATCAGAGGCCCACAGAAAGGGAAAGGGGAATGGGGATGGGGATTGTAGATCGATTCAACGAAATTGTTCCAACTCGGAAAGAGTAAAGTAACGCAAAACAATAAGGGGAAACCGGGGGGGGGGGGGGGGGAAGGAATGCAGCATTGTACATGTACATAAGCATCTACGCCTGTATATTCATTTTACCGGGAATTTAAAGCCAATCATTTCCTTGGAAAGACTAGAGTTAAAAGTCTTATTTGAACTGTTATTGGACTTTTACCTGAAGTTCAACCATTTTGGACACTCCACCCTAGGAAAAATAATAAAAAGGTTCCTCAACCCAAAAAAAGGAAAAAGAATTAATAATATTCTTTTCTTCAAAACAGAACATGTGAATTAACCAAAAGTAGTAGTATAAAGGTTTGTACAAGGCCATTGTCTTATGCCAAGAATTAAGAGTTCTCGATTCAAATCCTTTTTCCTTCTTCCTCCACCCCTTCCCGATTCCTTAAATCCCACAATTTTTTTAAATAAAAAAGAAAAGAAAAAGAAAAACTTCCTCGCAACTAAAATGAAAGGGAAAAAAAAATTAATAAATGATATGTCAGTTTCCTATTTTTTTATGTTTACCTTGTATATATGAAGAATGTGGGTTTAATATTTTTGCCTTCTTTTCGTCACGTGACTTTCTATTGATGCAACAAGTGATACATCTCTATATTCAAAACAATGATATCCTTTATTGTTAATGGGCCAATGACTCAAAAGATTTCGGCCTAATGAATAAATTTTATACATCATATTACAACTGTTTGGCCCTTAAAAGGGGTGCCTTTACCGAAAAAAAAAAAAAAAAAGAGCGTGACCTTTATGTAGTTCTTTGAGCCCCAGTGGGTTAATCTTAACTTAATTAAATTATAATTAATTAACTTATTATCTGGTTGGATGGATGTGCTGCCTAAAACCATGACTATTGGATTAGGCTTAATGGACTAATAATAGGTTTCAACCCTAAGATAAATTTCAATTAAATTCTAATTACAGTTTCTATATTGTTACCTATAATCACATTCAGTAACACGTGAATAACTTATCACTTATTTTTGGAATAATGTCAGAAACCTCCACTCACCTTCCCTGAACTTTGCAAAATATCAGCTACCTCCCCTAAAACTAAGTAGAGTGTATCAAATCTCACCCAATTCAAATGCACAAACAATTTTAAATATATATCAGGAGAGAGAAAAACACTTCATCCCACATCTGCCCTCAAGATTATCATTAGTGACTTAGGGCTTGTTTGGCACTTGAATTTTTTGCCAAGTTTGTTTGCTACAAGTTTTTTAAAAACTTTAATTACAGAAACCTCAAAAAATTTGTCAAAAATTTTAAACTATACACTACAAAATATTCAGAAATTTACATACTTCAAAAATTTTTTGAAAACTTCTTCAGTAAGTTACAGTAAAATTTTAGACAAACACCCAAAAAACTCACTTGTCAAACAGGGCCTTAATTTTGTTGAACAGTATAAACCATCTAACAATAATGAAATTTCAGGGGATGTATCTGAAATTGATGGAAAAGGCAAGGTGCCTATTGCATTTTGGAAGGTAGAAGCCAATACCTCTTTGTGCACAGTTAAACCAACGATAAAGAGCAAATAATAGTTAAGTTGGTTGATCATTCGCTATTAGTTTTGCATCTAAATTATAGTTAAGTTGGTTAATCATTCGTATTACTCATTTAACTAATTCTGTCAAAATAGTTTCGAAATATATTATAAATTATGAGGGTATATCTGTCAATTCATCATCAATGATATCACAAATAGGACCCAATAATCTGACAGAGGAGGTATATGATATTTTCAAAAGTTCAGGAGAGGTGAGTGAGACTGTCAGAAACTTTTTTGAAAGCAACTTTTATTTAGAAAATTCAGTATCACTTAATTAATTCAAATGTTTATCTAACAGTGACGTGACATGAACACTTAACAATTTTAGTGCTCAAATTATGCAAAATAACAAGGGACATAAAAACCACCTTGATCATATTCTCTAAAGATTCATAGTCTCAACCCTATCAAGTTCCTTATTGCTACCAAAGCAAACCATGATTGGCTCTTTCAAAGTAGCAAAACACCTACCACATTTCTTGCACATTGCTATTCTTGCTATTGCACATCATTTTTTTTTTCTTTTGCCTTTCGTTCATGCCAAATCAAATAAGTTTAGCCCTAATGTTTATGGGTGTTCATTGGCCAATAATCGGGAATTTGGTAAAAAAAAATTTGTAATTCAAAAATTGATTTTTTAAGACCAATATTCAATCACTGTCCAAACCTTAGTTTGATAAATTGGATCATAGAACTGGTAATTCGGTAATATCTGAAATATCAATAGTGAGTTAATATATTTTAATTTTCTCTAAAAAAATTATTGTAACAAAATAATATCTTGTATGTTTTTCCAATAAAATTCAATCAACTCAAACAAACATAATATGTAAAAAAAAAAAAGAAGGTTCATAATCCTAAATCCTGACTCATAATCTCAATTCTTAAATAACATTGAAATATATAAGAATTTCAAATTTAAATGTTAAGCTAAACTTCAGCGTATCAACTTCCATTAAAATTTTACGTCCAATTACAGTTATAAATAGGTTAACTAATTAGTATTTAGTGATAGGATTAACATTTACTCTTATATTTAGTAATATAGATAAGTGGGCAAATATTCTACTTTGACTTCTGTTGATTTTAAGCGAAAGAATGATTTTACTTAATTATTCTTCAAATTTTAAGTGGGCATTGGCTGTGCTTAGCACAACCTGAATTCTGCTTGTACTTCGTATTGGTTGCTCCAGTAAATCTCATGCTGAGTCTTTTGGCAGCTGACACGTGTGACCACAGCCCCATATGAGTGGACCCGATGCGTGCGACCAAGACATGTAAATGCACGAGTGTTGCTTCCTTTTCCGGGCACTTAAAAATTTCTTTCTTTGCGGCTTCCGACCCGATTTCCCTTTCGGATAGATATACACTGCAAAAATCCCTCCCCTGCCAAGCTCCCAACATACAGATTCTTTTGTAATTAAAATTTCCCAAACCCTAGAGAAAAGCTTTCCACGAACTTGAGATCCAAAGCGAGCTCCTTTTCATTTCTTTCCAAGGTATCATCAAATCGTTCTGGGTTTTTTTCTCTTTATTATTTGCGCCCCTAAATTAGGTTATTTAGTCTCTTTTGTTTATTGAACTTTTCTGTATGTTGGTTTGCGTTCTGTCTTTTTTCCCCTCTTCGAATTCAATTCATCATCACATCCCATGAAGAATTGGTTTAGATGCTAGATTGGTTATCTTTTTCTTCATCTACTAAAAGTTTGATATTAGATGACCATTCATTCGTTTCTTTTTCAATTGATCTTTAATTTTTTTTTTCGGCTGGCTGTTATCTGTTATCGTTTCCTTTTTTGTTGATTTTACGGGTCTGTGCCTCATTTACTTGTTAATTTTGGTTGTTTATTTTTTGGTCATTAAAGCACTGCGATGGGTAAGAAGAAAACAGATGATGTTGGGGCTAAGCCAAGTGGTAAAGACGGGAAAAAGAGAAGCTTTCAGTTTCTGCTATGCTTGCTGGTATGGACCAGAAACCTGAAAAGACCAAGAGTTCATCTTCTTCGTTGAGCTCTGTAACTAGTAAGCCGAGGTCAAAATCAGCTCCCAAAGTGTCATCTTACACTGATGATATTGATCTCCCTCCTTCTGATGATGAAGAGGAGGAAGGCTATGGTTCTGATGAAGAGCAGGGACAGAATGCTTCTCGTACGCATCCAAGCAGACAGAACAGAATTGATGGTAGGCCGCTCGAAATTTTGGTTACTGACAAAGAGTTGAAGAAACGAGAAAAGAAGGATATGATTGCTGCCCAAGCTGCCTGAGATTGCTAAACAAGAGGCCCTTAAAGATGATCATGATGCTTTTACGGTAGTTATTGGTAGCCGTGCTTCTGTTCTTGATGGTCAGGATGAAGCTGATGCCAATGTCAAGGATATAACAATTGATAATTTTTCGGTGTCTGCTCGGGGAAAGGAGCTCTTAAAGAATGCATCAGTTAAGATATCTCATGGAAAGAGGTATGGATTGGTTGGTCCCAACGGCAAGGGCAAGTCTACTTTATTGAAGCTTCTTGCTTGGAGGAAGATTCCCGTACCCAAAAACATAGATGTCCTTTTGGTCGAACAGGAGGTGGTTGGTGATGATAGAACTGGCTCTTGAAGCAGTTGTTGCAGCTAATGAAGAACTCATCAACCTCCGGCAAGAGGTAGCTAGTTTGCAGAATGCATCTTCAGATTCTGTTGCTGTGATGAGAAGGACGATGATGATGATGATGCAGGGGAGAAGCTTGCCGAATTGTATGAAAAATTGGAGCTAATGGGTTCGGATGCTGCAGAGGCTCAGGCATCAAAAATTCTTGCTGGGTTGGGTTTCACCAAGGATATGCAGGCCCGTACTACCAGGTCATTTAGTGGTGGTTGGAGGATGAGAATTTCACTAGCTCGGGCACTTTTTGTTTCAGCCAAACTCTGTTGCTATTGGATGAACCACCATCATCTTGACCTGAGGGCCGGTTCTCTGGTTAGAGGAGTACTTATGCAGATGGAAGAAAACTCTTATCGTTGTTTCGCATGACCGTGATTTCCTTAATACTGTTTGCAATGAAATTATTCACCTCCATGACATGAAGCTGCCAATATTATCGTGGAAATTTTGATAGTTTTGAAAGTGGATATGAGCAGCGTCGCAAAGAGATGAATAAGAAGTATGAGATTTATGACAAGCAGTTGAAAGCTGCCAAGAGGTCTGGAAGTCGCCACTCAACAGGAGAAGGTCAAAGATCGAGCCAAATTTTAATGCTGCCCAGGAAACGTCCAGGAGCAAAGCTAAAGGCAAGGCTGATGAGGATGAGCCGCAGCATGAGGCCCCTCAAAAGTGGAGAGATTACACTGTGGAGTTCCATTTCCCTGAGCCTACAGAGCTAACACCTCCCCTCTTGCAGCTCATTGAAGTTAGTTTCAGCTATCCAAATCGAGAGGATTTTAGGCTATCTAATGTGGATGTTGGTATTGATATGGGAACTCGTGTTGCTATTGTGGGGCTAATGGTGCTGGGAAATCTACCTTGCTGAATCTTCTTGCTGGTGATTTAGTTGCCACAGAGGGTGAAGTTCGGAGGAGTCAAAAGTTAAGGATTGGCAGATATTCACAGCACTTTGTGGACCTTCTGACAATGGATGAGACGCCAGTTCAATATCTTCTTCGTCTTCATCCTGATCAAGAGGGCCTGAGTAAACAAGAGGCTGTTCGTGCAAAGCTGGGGAAATTTGGACTCCCCATAATCACCTTACTCCAATTGCAAAATTATCTGGAGGACAAAAGGCCCGGGTTGTCTTCACTTCAATTTCCATGTCAAAGCCACATATTTTGCTATTGGACGAGCCAACTAATCACTTGGATATGCAGAGCATTGATGCACTAGCTGATGCGCTTGATGAGTTTACTGGCGGTGTTGTCCTAGTCAGCCATGACTCAAGGCTTATATCACGCGTATGCGAAGATGAAGAACGAAGTGAAATTTGGGTAGTGGAGAATGGACTGTCGAGACTTTCCCCGCACTTTTGAGGAGTACAAGGAAGAGCTCCTCAAGGAAATAAGAGCGGAGGTTGATGAGTGATGTGACATGTAAGATTTATATTGCACAATTTCTGATATACAGTCCTGGCCAACCTAGTTAAACTTTTTTCCAAGTTACCAGTCTATCTGTGAGAGCAATATTTTCTTTGATTTTCTTTTTTAAGTTTTTATTTTCTCTTGCTGTTAATCATTTTGATACATGATTTTCGAGTGTACTCACTGTGGCGATCTTAGGGAACAGGTATATTATATTGTACTTGGTGCAATATTTTTGGCTGTCTTGGATGGTAGGCCAATAAATCTGCTGGAGAATTTTCCTCTTTACGTCAAATGTGTTTGATTTGTTTCATTTGCATCTTGAACTGATTTATCTGTTGTGTGGCTTCTAATTTATTATCCTTATCCAACTCCTGTGTTTGCTTTTAAAGAAATTAGAAGTTGTTGAGAAGATTTGGAACCTTGATAATTATGGTTTGAGAAGACAGAAATAGTGTTCCAAAGTCGACAGAGATTTTCCAAATGGTTGTCTGTTTGGGACAGAAAATTAGCTTGAAATTTATTAGTCATAGAAAATTGATTGAGTTCAATTAATTTTGCGATCTCTTGGTTCTTTCTCTGATTTACGAGTCTCATTGTAACCATTAACTCGTCCTGGTTTTCATTCTGTTCTGCTTGCGACGTGTGATTCTCGAGAGGCAGAAAATCTCAATAAAAATAAAAAGAAAAAGAACGAAAGATACAGCCAATGCATTAATTTTCATGTGGCCGCTTGGTTGGAGGTAAAAATCTTTGAAAATCTAGAATGACCTCTGGAGATTACATATGTTGAAAATCCGTTAAAGGTTTTCTTTATCATAAATTAGATGATTCTAGGCCATTGGCATGGTGACCTTCAAATCAAAATGCGATGGATGAATCAAGGGCACTTGGGAATTCTTTAGAATTGAGCATGTCTCTGTAACAAGGCGCTCGTGACTTGTTTCGCCATAGGTCCTGAGGGAACACAATTGCATCTCTGGCAATAAGGTTACTCCTGCCTTCCACATCTATCAGCACACTTTTGAGCCGCAGAAACACATCTAAGAGACGGCAACCAACCTTCAGTTCATTAGTTTGAAGTTGCCAACTCTAAACCTGCCGTTAAGCAGTCACATTACGAGTCCTGGCGCTGCTGCAGTCTTAAGTACTTACAGGAGGTTTGTTGCATTAGGAAACGACATGAATCAGTGTAAAGGGTTTCCCGGGATGCGAGAGACAGAATGGGACACAGGTAAGCAGTATTCAAAAGAGAAAAGTGCCTCAAAGAAGCCGGGCAAATAATTAGATGCTTTCGACATGGCGTGACCTAGTGGGCTTGCTGACACTCGAGGAGCAGTCCTAATTAACAAAGCTCTTCGTGCAAAGAAGGTTCCACACAGCTTGTCCGTCAAACATCTTACATACATTTTCCGAAGGCGTAAAGCTCTCTGCATTCTCCTAACTACCGTCTACAACTTGCCATTGCCTAGGGAAACCGCACAGGATATCGACTTATCATTGTAAGAAGTTTGGCCGCAATTTAGGTGCCAACCTGGTACCTCCCAATGCATGTTACCTTTCAAGGATCTTTTTCTTGGGTGTTTGTGCGGTGGCGGGAGGGCAAAAAAAACATTTCCCCTCCAAAAATACTCTTCATAACCCAATGGATTTTGATACGTCCATTTTGAACATATCACTGAACAAAGCACAGATTGGTCTTTGAAGGAGGTCCTGGTAACAGGACTTGTGAGTTCTAAAAGTAGAATCAACCTCCCCATCCAAAGCGAGGGCAGAAATCTTGGGATTCAGAATCCTGTTTAGCATGATGACTTGAAGCCAGCAAATTGACCTGTGTGAGGAAGTACATTTGACTGACCATCATAAGAGATGACGTGTCGTCATTGATATGAAGAATGAGGGGGTTTAACTTTTACCTTAACAATCCCCCATCGTGAGCTTGGACGAACATAGGCAGCTAAAACAGCCATATGAAAGTGCTGTTTCGAAAAAAATGAAAAATAAAATATAAACATTGGCAGTGAGTAGGAACCTGTTCACTTGGACGGACAATAAAGAGACTCGGTAATAAATACTTCAGGAAGACGCCATTTTGAAGCAGAGACAACTTACACGAAATGGATCACTTCTCAAAGACTGCACATACATTGCGCTCCCCAGAGTCCTATCCTGTAAAAGAAATCAAGGAAGCAAGCTTTCAGGACATGCTATCGTGATTTTTCAGTTGATTGTTCTAAATTTGTTTTGCAGGGAGTCACTGCTGATAAAAAAGAAAGGCACGTATCTAAAATGCTCCAAGACTGCGCTATACCTGCAGATGGACATCCCTTAACCGCCTTCCCGTTTGGGCACAGCAAATTCTTAGAATGGATTCATCAGAACTTCCACTGATGATATAGTCTCTACCGTTCATGTAATATGATCTAGTGAAATTATGAGAACTTCCTGTTGAAGATATTTCAAATCTTGTGTGAAGCCCCATCAACGGCCAAAAGTTGTCTCACCTGCGACCATGACAATTAAGCCTCATGTTAAACTGGCACAAGATCATTAACTAATTACTGCTAGTGTTTTTTAAAAATTGATGGCTCTGGTATTGACATCACGTGACATTGATAAATTTGGTTGTTCTTGACTTCGTTACTTGTCACATTTAAATCTACTAAGGGGGGGGGGGGGGAGAGAGAGCGACAGAGAGAAAGAGAGATGAGTAGTTAATGAGGAGGTGACCGGGGAAGCAGAGCGGAGAAGGCGTATATATTGTAGACGTGTTAAAGTGCAGATGAGGTGCATCAACGGCAACAAAGGTTCGACGTTTGGGGTGGGCCCGTGACAAAAAAAAAGAGAAGAAAGAAAGAAAACTAACAAACAAACCAACAAAAGTAGCCGCGCGATTGAAACAGACTGGAGTCACTGGGCTGGACTAATTTCTGCGGGAAGGCCCAATTTGCATGTGATTCCGTTGGGGATGGCCACGTCACGACTTCCACATAACGCGCTGTTTTTAACTTTTTTTTTTCTTTTAATTTTGATTAAAATAACGCGTTGTACAGTACGGCTGGATTTTGGTAAAATACTTATTCGGTTTGGGGATCGTAAGCATTTCCTACTACAGCTGGAAATGGGCTTTTGCGTGGGACCGCATCGGATGACAGACCAATTACAAGGACGCACGTGTGCTTGCTGGCGATAATTGTGGAGTAAGTTTACTGCAAGGAAGGCTAGCTTTAGCTGGAATCTCATGGCACCGTCAAGGGGGGCGGGGCCCTCTTTGATGGTGCGATCTTTTTAATTTCTTGTCTTGTAAACAAATTTTCTTCTCCAGTTCTCTGCTGCTTCTTCAGCTAACCATGAGGAAAAACAAAAAGAGAGCAAACCAAATCTTGTATGGAATTTTGGTAAAGATTAGAGCCCGTGGTGTCTTTTTTTTTTTACTATTGTTGAAACCCTTTTGCTTTAGTTGGGTGGAGGTGCCTTCTGTTTTAAGCATTGTGGTTTTTAGAGGGGAACTTGTTGCAGCATCGATGGTATAATGAGTGATCCCAGTTAGTACTTAGTACAAGTATCAATTGCAATGATAGAGAATTATTTATGAAAGAAAAGAGGCGTACAAGTTGGACAGCTGGTAGATGATGTGATCAAATTATTCTATGCATCTCCATATTCATGTCACCATTACTTTACTCTCCTGGAATCATTATTGCAATCTCATAATTAGCATTCTTGCCTTATGTGAACTCCAATTTGTTTCCCCTTTCTTTTTTTTTTTTTAAATGTTTTCCTTACATGACTTCACGCAAAAGGAAAAAAAAAAATTATTAGAAAAAAATGAGGACCAAAGGCAAGGAGAACAAAAATAAGTGATGATGAGCTTTCACCGTATCCATTGTTGGATTGTATATAGGACCAATTAGGAAGCTAGCTACAAACACAACTGCGTTTGCCCTTTCACCAGACCAGCAGGGCCGAAAGAAAGAGACGCACTTCTTCTTTTGGTCAAACAAACAAGAGATCGACAATTGACCTTCTGAGGATTGTTGTTGGGTACATTAACAGTAGCAGGTGGTCCAACTCCCTCTTCTAACGTTCCTTTGTACTCTTCGCTAATTAATTTTGTGTTTGTTACGCAGGGCATGATAACCTGATCAGCTGAACCCACCTCTAGCCTTTTTGTAGATTCATCAGGTTTGACTCTGAATTTGTTGTTCTTGCAATCTCAACGGGGTCGGAATGGGTTTGGGCCTTTCTAGATTGTGGGTCCTCCGGTCCAGGGCCAGTTCTGTTCATTTCTGCTCAGGCCTGAAACAAGCCAACGAAAAGGTCCAGCGGCGGCATTGATGAGGGCTTGATTTCGCTGCGGGATGGCCTTGGCCCGTGTGGAAGTAAATAAATAACTATCAGTCTCTGTTTGCACAGCTCTAAAGCACGTCTTAACTGGTTAATTATTTATCGTCTAATTTTTGAGATGACACATTTACTTCTACTTCGTGATTGTTTCTACTAACACTTCCTCACTTCTACGTGACAAAATACAATACACTTAAGGATCAAATACATGGAGGCGAGACAGATGCGATTGAGGTTCTGTGCGATTCGTATCTTTTACAATATTTGGTGTATCTTTAGACAAATTTCTCATAGTGTTTTGTATACATAAACAAAATCAAATTAAAAAAAAAAAAGTCCAAAAACATGTAAGAAATACGATGGTCCTACACAGTTATACCTAATGCAATCTCACTTGTACCCATTCCTCGATATATCATGCAACTTTCGATTGCTCTACAATTTTTTAAACCCCGAGACCAAGTATACTAGTAGTATTATACACCAAAAACCAATTCATCATTTTAACACTTGCTCAAGCTTTTCTTGATTTTTCTCTATTTATTAATGCTAAGATCTACTTCTCTTTCTCTATGTCATAATAATATTTCACCATCCTATTTAGCAGGGAAATATATTATTATTTTGTCACTAGTTACCGCCGCGTGATAGGGTCACGTGCCTAAGAACACGCAGTTTCATAACCCTTTTCGGTAAAAAGTTGTACAACAGAGGATGCAATACGCCTTTTTATTAAGCCTTTGACAGACAGTCGATGCTGACAACAGATGTTAAGATATGAACTAAACTACGGAAGATCTGGGCGTGATTTATGTTGTATACAACTATTTTTCTCTTGGTCGGAGTTTTGGGTATCGGTTTATATGTGTTTCTTGAAGCTATGAAAAGTATGCTTTTGGGTTAGGTAGCCCTCCAATAATCAAACCAGGTGCTTGAGACCGAAGAGATTCAACACTCTCGCGCTTTTTTCTTTAGGACGGAAGCCGCATTTTCTTGAGACCAACCCCATTTGTACTTTGGTCTTATATAATATTACAATCCTTTGCATTTGGGGTTCAAAGTTGGACAAAATTCTGATGGCTAAGCAGCTTTTTCAACTCACTCTGCTTAGAACATACGAACGCCAATTTCTTTTGAAGCCATTCGCTAACTTGTTGTGGACTCTAGACGGGGACCAGAGCTAGTCCTTAGGGTAGGGATGATATGATCCATGGCAACCATCATTACGCTCTCGAGTCTCGACCTGGATAGTGGATATGCCCCCATATCTGGCAGGTTATTTTTGACGCTTTCTTTCTTTGGCTGTAGTTTTTGGCTTCGAAATTACATGTACAATACGGCTGCCATTGCCATGTTGGAATGGAGCCGGGAACTCCAGATCTTCACGTATGTCTTGGTTTCTGATCTGACGTTAAACAGTCCTGCTTTAATATACCTAGCCAGGCACTTGATGCATTAACCCAGTGGAGTAGCCAAAAATCTTTAAAATGAGTCACCCTAATCTTACCAGGAGAATCCAGTTGTCGCTCTCTCTTTTCCCGTGTACCCTAAAGCCAACTTATGTTCGCTGTTAAACCTACCCTTACATCTCTTACAGTTCCAATGATGGATTTTGCTTATTCATCGATTGCCCACAAAGCTAGAAAAGTACTAAAATGTTAGTAATCTACCAAACACTAACAACAATTGCCAAGGTTGATTTTTCGATGTAACCCTCCAGAAAGTGTACGGTGATTATATTGAGTCCTGACTAACTCAAAATTGAGCATTTTCAAACCCTTTTTGGGTAGCTCTCTCGACATTAATTTTTTTTTTTTTAATTCACAAGACTAAGAATGGTGCCAAGGCTGATTAGTTGACAAATAGAGCATATCTATTAGATATAAGTTGGCATCAATCAGTTTAAAATGGAGTGGCCCATCAATTGTCATCAAATTCACTCTCGCCATTTAGCATCCGGTCTTGAATTCACCACTAGTCCTCAATCCTTAACAGTCAATCCATTTAGACTCTTGATGTCGTACCATATTCTAGAAAAAAGCCAAAGTTCTCCCATATGGTTAAGGAGACGCAAAAACCTGACCAGAAAACACCGAATGCAGCTCAAGTGCATCAAAACTTGTTGCCTCTTGTGCACCATGAATGAGCTTGATCCATTTGTAAGAAGATCAGGGTTAGCTAAATGCTTCGGTCAGTTGCATCTCATAGAAGATGAAGACCTAGTAATCACCTTGAATGGCCTCTGGAACGTGGCACTGTCGCAGCCAGACGATGCTGAATTCCCATCACTCGGCATCTTCAAATGCATGGCTAAACTCATTGATAGAAGCATCAGTGACGGAAACTGGCCATCAAGGGGGAAAAATGCGTGCGTCCCTTATTACGCAGCGCATATCATTGGTTCATACACCATGAACAAGGCACAACTCGCGGATATAGCTATTAAATCCGGGGTTATAGGGCCACTAATGGAGCTTCTTAGAGGTAAGGCCAGTTGGATTGAGCAAAGAGTCTCTGTTAGGGCCCTTGGACACCTTGCTAGCCATAGAAGAGCATTTAGAGCCATTACCATCCATGAAGAGGAAATAATAAGCTTATCCAAGAACATAGCCTCCACTTGCTTTGGTACTGTCTACAATGAATTTGTAAGATTGAAAAGTCGCAAAAGAGTGGAATATCATCGTGATCTCATGACGAGAGGGTGCGGGGGTTTGGAGGTGGAGAATAAGAAGGCTGAGGAATGGGCTAGCCAACTCCAATGCTGGTCCCTCTATCTTCTCAACTGCTTTGCTACCAAAAAGAGGTCTCTTAATCTCATCTGCGAAAAAGAGTTCTTGGAAGACTTGACTGGTATGTGGGGGGGCTTACAGAATCAGAGTTCTTTTTCTGGTGTTTGCTTAATAAGAAGCCTTTGTCTCACTAAAGATGGTAGAAGAAGCATTGCCAATTCGAAGCAAGTTATAGTGACTCTCTGCAATCTATCTAGGTCTTCAGATGAAAGGCAATACAAGGCAATTGAGAGCATTCTTTCACTTCTTCAGGATCAAGAAACAAGATTTGCAGTGATAGAGTTTGTCGTACCTTTTCTGGTCGATTTGGTTGAACTTAAAGCCATTAGAGGAGGA